GGCTTCCGGGACACCGGGCCCCAAGCCAGGTGTCCTGAGAGGCTGTTGATTTCCTTCAGCTTTGGATTCCACCTGCTTTCATCTGGCATGGTTCTCAGAATCTGATGGGCATTTAGGGGCCTGAGGGATCAAACCAGTTTCTATGGGAAGGGGCTTTTGTTTCCTCCAAACAGGTTAAAATAAAATGGTCCGTACTAGCATGGGGATCATCATCTACTCCAAACCTCGTAACAGCTGCCAGCTCTGAAGGAAGGTTACTTCTTACTCAGTAGCATCTTCCCTGGTGTGTCAATACTTTGTGTTGATCAACTGTAACCTTCAGAGTCATCACCACCTAAACACTGGGGGTCATGGAGGTGCTGGCCAAGTGGCCCTGCTGTGCCCAACGGCTCCATGAGAAGTGGCTTTCCTTCTATCTGAGTGGCAAAGTGAAAGTGAAAGTTGCTCAGTTGTGTCTGACTCTTTGCGACCCCATGGACTGTAACCTCCCAGGCTCCTCTGTTCATGGAATTCTCCAGACGAGAATGCTGGAGTAGGTTACCATTTCTTTCTCCAGAGGATCTTCTCAACGCAGGGATCGAACTCAGGTTTCCTGCATTGCAGGCAGAGTCTTTACCTTCTGAGCAGGCAGTGCACAAATTTAAACACTTTCCTGAATGAGTTGTTTTTGGTAGCTGGGGTGTCTTATTTCCAAGGGGCTAGACTTTGTCACATGCCATTTGAGACTACGAGAGGCTGATGTCATACTTTATCATTAGCACCGGGGCTGATGCAAGAGCATAAACCATCGATTACCCCAAGGAGCATGCTTGCAGAACAGGTTCCTCTTTATACATTTTGGGGATGGGCTTAAGGAGAGACTCTTCAGAGCTCCACAACTTGGATGTTTTCTTCTTTTTCCCAGAAGAATAAGTACTGAGGTGTGATTATGGATCACTTTGTTCACAGGCTGCTGAGGGCTCATGATTAGGCATTCGGCCCTGGGTCTCTCTGAACCTTTATTCTTGATTTTTATACCATAAAGTAGTGTTTTTGTGTCCATCATATGGATAAAAGACCATGGTACACAGTTGATTTTGGAGTTCTCTGAGTGATAGCTGTCTCTATTCTTTTAAAATGATTAGGATATTGAATTAATTTCCCATATTTTAAAATAATTACCTCTTGGAAGAAAAGTTATGACCAACCTAGACAGCATATTAAAAAGCAGAGACATTACTTTGCCGACAAAAGTCCATCTAGTCAAAGCTGTGGATTTTCCAGTAGTCGTGTATGGATATGAGAGTTGGACCATAAAGAAAGCTGAGTACTGAAGAATTAATGCTTTTGAACTGTGGTGTTAGAGAAGACTCTTGAGAGTCCCTTGGACCGCAAGGAGATCCAACCAGTCCATCCTAAAGGAGATCAGTCCTGAATATTCATTGGAAGGACTGATGCTGAAGCTGAAACTCCTATACTTTGGCCACCTGATGCGAAGAACTGACTCATTGGAAAAGACCCTGATGCTGGGAAAGATTGAAGGCAGGAGAAGAAGGGGATGACAGAGGATGAGATGGTTGGATGACATCACCGACTTGATGGACATGAGTTTGAGCAAGCTCCAGGAGTTGGTGATGGACAGGGAAGCCTGGTGTGCTGCAGTCCATGGGGTCACAAAGAGCCAGGCACAACTGAGCGACTGAACTGAACTGAGCTAATACTGGGACTTCCCTGGTGGTCCAGGCACTAATGATTTTGCAGTCTCAATGTGGGGGGACCCAGGTTCAATCCTTGGTCAGGGAACTACATCCCACATGCCGTAACTAAGAGTTCACATGCTGCAACTAAGACCTGGCACAGTCTAAATGATAAATCAATATTTTTTAAATTCTTAAAAAAAAATATTGGTGGGAACTTTAATTTTTGGCAAGATATTGAAAATGGATTTATTGTCTATTCTCGCCTAGAATCTTTTTTTTTTTAAAGTACTATCATTGAGGACTCTGTTTACAGAGAAAAGCCACCTCTGTTAGCAGTGCCCTTTTGCAGGCTGTGGTGTGGGGAAGGGAGTGGTGTCCTGAATGCAGTGGGGCCTTCTTGGCTCTCCCAGCAGAGGGCTTGGGCACTCAGATAGAGGTTGCCGGCAGGGGTTTCAGAGTATGTCGGATGGTGGGAGGCGGGTGGTGGGTGGCATGTGAAGTTGTCCATAGCAGATGCCGCCAGGGGCTGAATGCCTATGAGAGAGTAACCTTGAGGGCATCCCTGTGTCTGCACGCTGTACCCCCCCCCCATCTCTGCCCTCCTGCAGGTGAGACCCCAAGGCCACACAGTGAGGAGACCTGGGCAGGAGGGCTGGGGCAGGCTCACTCCCCAGAGGGCCCCCCTCGGACAACATAGCCACTCCTGGCAGACAGGTCTAGCGATGGCACCCCCAGAGCTGTCAGTGTCTGTGGTGGGGGAAGTCCCTTCCATGTTGGCTGTCACTGTTGCCCCTGGGCTATGGGCTTCAGGGTGTGCAGACGTCAAAGGTCAAACAAAGTAGGACTCTAATAAGGACAGATTTTAATCCTAAGTAACCATTGGGAGAGAACTCCATTGACAGTGCGGTCCAGGGTGGACCAAACTCAGCTTTCATTTGTACAGAGGTGACTTCTAAAGTGAAAATACAGGAAAATAAAACACGAAGGAAGGGAGAAGAGGAGGGAAGGAAAGGAGGGAGAAAGAAATCTGGAATTTATATGATCACTTTATCCTGGAGGAATTTAAAACATTGGATCCAAGAGTTATTCTTTCGATTATATATTGTGATTTACAGAAAGAGCAGACAGTCTGCTTATATCAACAATGGAGAATAAAAGGAGGACTCAAGTAACATTATCAAGGTCTCACAAGAAAACTGAACTCTGCACCATCTTTTAAAAATTCAAACTGTAATAATTTGAATTCTGAGGATATTGTAAAGACACTTCATAGAGATACAGATCAAGAAAAATTATATTTTAAAATTGCCTTATAGCTAATAGTTGGAGTAAAATAAAGCAACTTAATGTTATGATGATTGTTTCTCATAGAAATTTTTTTATTCTAAAAAGATTTTTTTATAATGACAAATTATGCAGTATCTAAGAGAAGAAGAAAACTGCATAGAAGACCCAAAGGAAAAAAGACTGAAATTTAAATTCAGGCAGTGATCTTATTCTTTAAGTTCTTATTTAGAATCAATATATTGGTATTTTCTTGTAATATAAAATAGCATTTATGACTGAGAAAATTATCTGGTGTTGTCAGGGGGTGAACTATTCTCCTGTATTAGATATTTGACTAAAACAAACCAATTATATGCTATGAACTCCAAAGTAGTAGAAATAATGCATTACATATAATAATAGATATATATTAGCTACAATATAATTTAAAATCTGTTGAAACAGAAAATACTGTGAAGTATGCTTGTGATCATACCTAATGAACATCAGTTAACCTGTAGAAGCAAACAGAAGTCATTCCAGGCAAAAGGATATATGCTCATTCATATCAATCTGTAGTTGTATAAAATAAAATGGGCTTTATCGAAAATTTTTAAAAAAGAGAGAGAGAGTGAAAATGAGAAAGCCCTTATGAGACTCCTCTGAGTGGGGAAGCCAGGCTCCTGCCTGTGTTGGGAGATGGGGTAACCACAGGTGTGGGCTGGAACAAGCTGGAAATTCTCCTGACAACCTGAGCTTGCTCAGGCAGGCACTTTAAGGCAGTCTCACATCATCCTAGGGACGTGGTCTTGAGCTGTCCTTAGTAACTGCTAGTGTTTGTTCAGATATTCAGGCCAGGGCTCAGGCTTAGTCAAGAAGAGACTTTGAGTGTCCCAGGTCAGAGTCTGGTCAAGGGGAAAGTCTTTGTCATTCATTAGATGGAGCTGCTAGTAACATCAAAAAGAACATACTAGAAGTTAGAGTGGGATGTCTTCCTGACCCAGGGATCAAACCTGCATCTTTTATGTCTCCTGCATTGGCAGGTGGATTCTTTACCACTAGTGCCACCTAGGAAGCCCCATGAGATGGCAGAGTAATGAAAGAAGAGGGGGGATAAAGGGTAGTAGCCAAGTCAGTTATATGAGAAAAGCAATACAAATATGGAACATTTTTAAAAGAAAAGGACCAGGAAAATGTATAAGAATATCCTAGACAGGAAAACTAGAATAACGTTAATCAAGAATCTGCTACAAAGAAGAAACAAACAAGTAATATGGCAGCAAAATGAAAGCCAAGGGCCAGCACCACTGTGCTGCCATAAACTTGGTTCTTGGGTCTCCCATCCCCGCCCACACTGGGGGTCAAGGTCATGGTAGGCAGTCTTGGGAAGGAGGCTTGAGGTAGTCGTGCCCAGGGTAGGGAGCAGAGCTTTGTTACCTGCAAACCAGCATCTCCTCCTCCATGGAAGTAGGCATTTCAGGAGTAAGGGGCACCTTGGGCCCCTTGAAGGAAAGAGTCTTTATTATAGTCATTCCCAGAACCTTTATGTCTTACCTGTGATAATCCATGAGGGACCCTATAGCAGAAAAGTGTTTTTAGATTATGGTTTTCTTCTAAGGGAAGGAAGGGGTTGCTGGGAGCAGTGTTGTAGAAATGGTACTCCTTGAAACACACATGGGAGGTGCTGTGCCCATCTTCCAGTCCTTTGGCTCATGAGCGATGCTGCATCTGCAGTCTGCACCCAGCTGGTGAACATGTCCCTTCTGCCTCGAACAGCCCACCTCCAGGTCTCAACATAGCTTCCTCCCCATCTCTCTGTTCGGGTCTCACTCAGGTGTCCCATCTTTGACCTCTTGGCCCCATCACTCTCCATCCCAAAGCAATTGGTCGCACTTTGAAATGTTCCAGGAGACTTGTTTGTTACATTCTTGTCTATTCCCCCCATTACGATGTAAGTCCATTTCTTGGGCGTGTTGCTCTACCCCTGGCATTTAGGACAGGGTCAAAGGAGCACATGGAGGAACCAACACTGATTTAGGCCTTTTCCTTTGACAGGGTGGAAGATCACGATGACCTCATGCCAATATTCCTGCACCACGACACCATCCTGAAGGAGACGTACGGCGAGTACTTCCTGGCTGAGCTCATCGAGGCCCAAGACGAGGAGAATCACGCTGTTGTGTGTGAGGTGCGTGATAACTCACCTGGGGCCCGCCCGGGAGAGGGGTGAGAGGAAGGCAGCCCTGGTCCTGGTTCAAGGAACATCCTTGGAGCCATGACGTCACCCGCTTCCCCAGGGTTCCCGCTTTAGGTTTTTCAGGTTTTACGAGGCCCTCCAGGTGCTCAGTCTTAACAGGTTCAAGTCTGAACTAGGCACAGCTGACTCGAAGTTCCTGGAAAACAACTTGGGCAAACATCTTATCGTTTGGGCTACGTGCCTCTTGGCAGATGTGCAAGTCATTTGTATGGATAGCAACAGTTAAGGCGAGCTTAATCAGTGATGGCGGGCCCCGGGTGTGATGGATTTAACTGATTATTACTCAGTTTCAGAAGGTGAATTCTATCTCAGAAAAAATTCCTGATGCCAGGTTGCAGTCAGAACAATGAAATCAGTCTTTTGGAGGTAGAGCACATCAGTATTTTGAAAACGCTCCCCGTATACTTCCCATATGCAGCCCAGGTGGTGAAATATTGATCTACATGATGGAAGAAGACACATCAGGAGAAGGCCAGGATGGGGACTTTCCCTGGTGGTCCAGTGGTTAAGATTTCACCTTCCACTGCAGGGGGTGCAGATTCAATCCCTAGTTGGGGAACTAAGATCCCATATATCTTGTGGCCAAAAAACCAAAACATAAAACACAAGCAGTATTATAACAAATTCAATAAAGACTAAAAATGGTTCACATCCAAAAAAAAAAAAATTTTAAAAAAAGAATAACATGAGTTTAGATGTTCATAGAGATTTAGTTTCAGGTGAGAACTGGCCTTAAAAATTAGATTCAGATGTACTGGTCCATGATAGTTGTTTCTTCTGCATTGAAAGACTTAATTTTTTTTTCCCTCGTATTTAGGTTTATGTGTTGTCTTTTAAGGACGTTTGTTCAAATATTATCATTTGACCTTTGACTCCAGGCTAGTGACAGAAGGAAGGGTCAGGAAGCATTTGGTCCCAGCAGCACCATTTTGAAGAACCACATCTTACACAATGAGTCAAAAACTCTGTGTGTGTGTATGTGCTGAGTTGCGTCCGACCCTGCGGCCCCATGGACTGTAGCCCTTGAGGTTCCTCTGGCCATGGAATTTTCCAGGCAAGGATAAGAGAGTTGGTTGCCATTTCATACTCTAGGGGATCTTCCCAACCCTGGGATCGAACCCCCATCTCTTGAGTCTCCTGAGAAGACTCAAGACATTTACCATCTGAGAAGCCCTGATAGTTAAAATGATTCATACAGGCCCAAATGAGCTTTTAATGGTCCCACTGTACCCATCCAGTTAAGTCAGTTCTTTGTTTTTTAGAGAAGGCATTTATTTATGTGTTTATTTTTCCAGCTTTATTGAGATGTTATGACATATGACATTGTGTAAGATTAAGGTGTACAGTGTGTTAGTCTGATGTACTTATTTTGCAAAATGATCACCACCATAGTGTGAGCCAGAACCTCCATTATGTTACAGGGTTATTAATACCATTTTCTTTTGTGGTGAAAACATTAAGATCTACCTCTTAACCACTCCCAGGTATATAATACAGTGTTATTACCTGTAATCATCATGCTGTACATTAGATGCCCAGAACTTATTCATCTTATACCTGGAAATTTGTATCCTTTGATCAATAGCTCCTGATTCAGTCTAGATAGCTTCTCTGTTTCTGGGAATTTGTCTGTTTCTTTTAGGTTATCCAATTTGTTGGTATATAATTAATTATAGTAATCTCTTATCCTTTGTATCCATGGCATCAGTTTTAACACCTACTCTTCCATTTCAGATTTTAAGTGTTCTCTCTTTTTCTTAGTTAGTCTAGCTAACAGGTTGTCAATTTTGTTTATTTTTTAAAAATACAGCTCTAAGTTTTGCAGATCTCTTTTATTACTTTTCTGGTCTCTCTTTCATTTATTTCTGCTCTGCTCTTTGTTAATTTCTTCCTTCTGCTAATTTTGGGCTTCTTAATTTGTTCTTCTTTTTCTAGTTCCTTGAGGTTGTAAAGTTAGGTTGTGTATTTGAAATGTTACTTTTTTTTGGTTAATGTAGGCATTTACTACTATAAACTTACCTCTTAGAACTGCTTTTTGCAGTATCCTGTAAATTTTGGTTTGTTGTATTTCCCCTTTTGTTTGTTTCAAGGTATTTTTTTAATATCCCTTTTGATTTCTTCTTTGACCTCTTAGTTGTTCAGGAGTATAATATTAAATTTTCATGTATTTGTGAATTTTCAGCTTTCCTCCTACTATTAATTTCTAGGATAATACCATTGTAGTTGGGAAAGATCCTAGGTGTGATTTAAATCTTTTTAGTGTGCTAAGACTCATTTTGTTATCTATCATATTCTGCATCATGGAAAGTGTTCCATGTGTTCTTGAGAACGATGTGTATTCTACTGCTTTTGGATGAGGTGTTCTGTACAAATTTGTTAGGTCAATTTTATCTAACATTTGCATCGAGTCTTAACGTTTCCTGGTTGATTTCCTCTCTGGATGTCTATCCATTGTTGAAAGTTAGCTATTGAAGTCCCCTGCTAGTATTGTATTGTTGTCTATCTCTCCCTTCAGATCTGTTAGTATTTGCTTACCATAGTTAGGTGCTCTGACATTGAGTATGTATATATTAATATATTTGTGATTGTTATACCTTTTTTAAAATGATTTATGTATTCATTTATTTTTGGTTGTGCTGGGTCTTCATTGCTTTGTGCGGGCTTTCTTTAGCTGCAGTGAGTAGGGGGCTACTCCTTCCTGCAGTGCATGAACTTCTCATTGCGGCGCCTTCACTTGCCACGGAGCACAGGTGCTAGGTGCACAGTAGTTGAAGCACTTGGCCTCAGTGGTTGTGGCACATGGGCTTAGTTGCTCTGTGGCATGTGGGATCTTCCCGCACCAGGCAATGAACCTATGTCCTCTGTATTGGCAGGCTGGTGGTGCAGTGGAGTCCTGTTATATCTTCTTGATGAATTGACCCCTTTATCATTATATAATAACCTTCCTTGTCTCTTTTTTTTTTGAGCCTAAAGTCTGTTTTGTCTGGTATAAGCATAGCTACCCATGCTGTCTTTTGGTTTTCACTGGCATGGAATATATTCTTCCATCTCTTCACTTGAAAATGATGTGTATCCTTAAAGGAAGTGAATTTCTTGTAGGCAGCAAATTGATAGGTCTTGTTTTTTTAATCCATCTAGCCACTCTGTGTCTTTTGATTGGAGAATACAGTTCATTTACACTTAGAGTAATTACAGGTAAGGACTTACAAATGCCATCTTACTGTTTCCCGGCTGTTTTGTAGTACCCTTGTTCCTTTCTTCCTGCCTTCCTTTATGAGTTGATGATTTTCTGCTGTGAAATGGTTTGATTCCTTTTTCTTTATCTTTTGTGAATCTACTGTAGATCTTTATTGCATGGTTAACATGAAACTTACATAAAACAGCTTACAGACATAACAGTATATTTTACACCAAAGACTTAATTCAATTGCACACAAAAGGTTTACCCTTTTACTTCCCTACATTTTTAAAATCACAATTTACCCTTTTTTATATCCCATATTTACTAACAAATTATTGTACTTATAGTTATTGAAATATTAAATTGTCATCCTTTAATCTTTACACTTAAGTGGTTAATGCTTTGCCATATTAAAGTTTTATAGTATCCTGAACTTGACTGTATACCTGCTTTTACTATTGTGTTGTATATTTTTATATATTTTTGTGTTAATAATTAGCATCCTTTCATTTCATCTTGAAGAACTCCTTTCAGCATTTCTTATCGGGCAGGTCTAGTGGTGATGAATTTTTCTTAGCTTTTGTTTGTCTAAGAAAGTCTTTCATTTTTGAAGGACAGCTTTGATGAGTGAAGTATTCTTTATTGGCAGTTTTTGTCTTTCAGCACTTTGAATATATTATCCTGCTAATTCCTGGCCTGGAGGGTTTCTGCTGAGAAATCTGCTGACAGTCTTATAGGGGGGTTCCCTTGGAAGTCACAAGATTTTTTTCTTCTGCTGCTTTTAAGATTCTCCTCTTACCTTTGATTTTTGAGTTTTATTATAATGTATCTTGGGAAGGATCTTCTAAGTTGATTTTTTTTGGTGACCTAGGGGTTTCATGAACTTGGGTATCTATATCTCTCCCCGGATTTGGGATGTTCTTGGCCATTATTTCTTTAAATAAACTCTCTGCCCCCATTTCCCTCAATGCTTGTTTTGGAACTCTAGTGATTCATAAATTGGTCCTTAGGATGGTATCTTATAGATCATACAGACTTTCTTCAACTCTTTTCATTCTTTTTACTTTGTTCTCCTTTGATTTGATATTTTCAAAGTTCCTGTCTTCAGTCTCACTGATTCTTTTTTTTTGATTGATCAGGTCCACTGTTATATGCTTTGTGTTGTATTTTCATGTCGTTCATTGATTCTTTGGCTCCAGAATTTATGGTTGATTCTTATGGATTCTCTTTTGCTAAACTTCTTATTTTATTTGTGTTGTTTTCCTGATTTTGTTGAACTGTCTGTGTTTTCTTGTAGCTCACTGTCTCCTGAAAACAGCTTTTTTGAATTATTTGTGTAGTGCCTTGGAGAGTTACCATTTGTCCTTGTCTTTGGGTTCAGTTATCAGAAGACTATTGTGACCTTTTGGTGGTGTCATATTTCCTTGATATTTCATGGTCCTGGAGTTTTGCATTGCTGACTTCACATTTGAATAGCAATCATTTCCTCTGGTCTTTGGGTGAGAAATACCTTCTTTCAGCCCTGCTAGAGATTCTGGGGTATCCTTTTATGGGTACACCTCCTCTGTGCCTCTTGGTCTCTCTTGTGGCAGAATTTTTAAGTTGTTTATTTTCTATGGGCCCTCCAAAGCACCAGGTTGAGTGTTTTGTCTTCCCAAAGATGGCACTAAAGCTCACGTTTGTAGTATCTTCCTGGACCACAGATTAGGCTGATTTTCTCATTATGCTCCTTAGCCATCTGCCAGGTCTG